CATTCAGGAAAACAACATGTTCCAAGGTAAAATTGTGGGTAGTTCCAGAGAGAGATTGCTGGAAATGCTTTATTTGTTACATGGCAGGGGTCATGCATGCTTAAGCCCATGCATATCTGAATCTAAAATGTACTTATTATTGGGAAGATTTATCACCCCTCTTTATGAATTAAGAAGATTTAAAACATATTACACTTCATTCAGTGAGATTAGTGATAAAGTAGGATTGTATGTAGATTTAGCTGAATTACGGTACCTGAACATTTATATGCTTACCATAAAAAGACTTCTACAAAAGGAAACTATGACTCTTGTTCAAACGATGGCAATAAGGCAACATATTTGTTCGTTATTTACTCACTTGGCATTTATTGTCATGGATATGGGAAATACGAATGATATTTATAAGACTGGTTACTTATTGGAGATTGCAGCAAAACATGGGTTTCTATCAGACAACATTTTTTACGTAATGTATCTTTATAGACTGTCCAGATTTGAAGAAGCTCTTTGCTATGCAAGAAAGACAAAGAAAGATTTAAAACAACTCCATGTGATATTTGTACCCAACTCATTAATATTTACAGAAGTCATTAAATTCGGCAAATACAAATCATGGCCTTCAATTCAAAGAGGAAGTGCAGCAGTAGAAATGGAACTCTCTATGTTCGTTACGTATTTAGAGGAACTAATGATTGAACAGCATGTGGGAAGGATGGAACGTACACATTTAGTTATCCCTCCATACGTGTTAACACTTTTTCTCATTATCCTTTGTAACATACGTCTTGGAGACATAAAAGGCCGCGATTATACCTTATGCGAATTGAAAGATTTACTAAATAATGATACAGGAAGATTTGTACCCTTTGCTCTAAAAAATACCTCTTGGAATATCCTTTGGATCGCTCAACAATTGTCCGGGTATTATTCAGAAGCAACTGAGTCGTACAGAACATCGCTAAATCATCTGGACAGATGTTTGATATTCAAGGCTAAAATTATCAGAATGCTGACTGTCGTATCTGATTTAAAAAACAAAAACGCCCGAAATGGTTTAAACGATTCAGAAATGGGAGGGAAAAAAAAGAGAGAAAAGACACAGGACAAGCTTTAATTAATTACAAGATTAGAGGGAAATAAACCTTGATTTCATCTGTGCCTAAACATAGGATATTCCCAAATCTTATGTGACGCATATCAGAGAAAATTTTTACAGGAGATAATGTTATAATTGAACAAAAATTGTCCTGCTAAACAATTCTTATGAAGCAACCGGTATAATTTTACCTATGTGAGTTTCAATGAGAACATAGAATTTGCTTGATTACATTAAATATATAAGGAAAGGGGATACAAAGTGAATAAATATATCATCAATTTTCACATAAAAAATGGTTCTGGAGATATAATTTATACTTTTTATTTTTGCAAAGATAAAAATATTAACTTTAATTTAAATTGAAGTTCCCTTTTTCCTCTATGCAGTATTTCCTTCATTTAATATAGTTTAAAAAAAAGTTTCACTTTCCTATTACTACATGAAATATTTAACCTTGCTATAAGTTATATTAATGAAGTATAATATCAAAAAACACAATTTGTCATACACTTCACCTACAACTATGGCCTCTGTTGAAATCACTTTAGGGACATGAATGATTGCTTTGCGTTTCAATAATTGATATATATTTTTGTGTGATTTTGTATTGTATGTGATTATATTGTAGAAAAATTAATATTTATTATTTTGAAAAAAGTCAAATTTCAATTAAAGCGTTAAGCAATTTATCTGTATATTATTAAAACAAGACTGGTCCTAAAGCTTCTAAAACAGAAATATTTAAGATAAAAAGATTTATAGAATTTCAACGGGGAGTCGAAGAGAAGGTCTTAGAGTCGAAAAATTCAGACGGTGATTAGCTTTACTATTGGACGGATCACATTGTAATATGTCATCCAGAACAAGCAAACAAATATAACAAAGACAAAACAACTTGATAATGATCGAGTATTGTGAGGATAGTCCAGGATCCGTCCTTTTGAGAGTCATTAATCAGTCTCCTTATAAAAAGGTTTGTGATAGTTACATGAAATTGGGAAAGAACTCATATATGTCAAGTTCAAAACATAGAGATTCTAGATCTTTTCTTAACGTGGTAGTCCAGGGCTCACATGAACATAGGCCTTGTGCCAGTGGCATTTTGAGTAACGGAATGCGCTATGATAATGCTCATTCATTAAAGAGTAATTTCATGGAGAAGCCGTTGCGTAGAAAAGGTTGGCCTCACGCTTCTATTCTAAAGTACGCCACAAAGACAGAATGTCATTTCGTCTCTATTGGACGAAGGGACCCTACATATAGAGATCACGAATAGCGCATTTTCTTAATTTAACGGAACTTTAATGTGGGCTGATCAAGATATTCCTCACTGATGTTATCAATCCAAATTTCCCACAATAAAGAATTACTCAGTTCCTATTACTTTAAAACAATTATTTTCTATATGATACAGGAAAAAGAGAATTCATTTTGGATTCAAGAAAACTTTTTGGAATGTTTTTGGAGTTGTTTCAAGTTTCTTATCTTTTCAGTTTATAAAGGGAATTTACCAAACTTTTTTATTCAAGAAAATAATATGTTTCAAAATAAAATCGTTGGCTCCAGTAAAGAAAAATTATTTGAAGAGCTTTATCAGATTTACTGTATGGGTTACGAATGCCTAATTCCTTGCTTTGAAAAACACAGTATGCAACTGAGTGAAAAATGAAAATCGATCAGAGTACATTACATTTTGCCATGAAGTTTATGATTCCACGGGACTTTATATGGAATTTACAGATCGATCATTCTAACGAAAGTATTATCTTAAAATATCTGAACTTATAAAAAAAGAAAATATGCCATTATTTTCGCAAAAAACTCTACAAGAACACAAATATTTGATATTCTATTACATTTTTTTCGCCTGCTAAAAAATCGAAAAGCAAATAAATGGGAAAAAATTGATATATTCGACGACATCTATCTTTCGGATAAATTATTCTATTTTATGTATCTATACAGATTGTCAAGCTTCAAAAAAGCTATATCTTTGGCTGAGCAGTTGTTAACAATATTGAAACAACCTCAAGTGGTTTATTTACAAGGTTTACATGAGGATATAAATTTGAAACAAAGTCTACCATCGGCAGAGATATTGGGACCAGTGGTTGTAAATATAGCTCTTCCCATAGACATAATCTTTTTACATGAATTAGAATTGGAAAGGATTGCAATGATAAAAACTATGCGTCCAGTTGGTTTCCATATTCCTCCGTGTGTATTGACACTTATGCTATCATTCCTCTGCTATAAAAAGTGTAAAAACAGAGAAGGACAACGATCTGTCCTAGAAAAAAATGCAAGATATGGTAGAAAAGGATTCAGGGACATTTGTACCAGTGCATCTTAAAAATGTTTCCTTAGAAATATCAGGAATCTGTCAACAGTTGAACGGAGACTACAATGCTGCGATGAATTCATACAGTAAATCGCTCGAGTGTATAAATTGTCTGATTGAAGAAGCTACATACGCTAGAATAAGAGAGTGTGAAAAGTTCTTGACCAAATAGGAGAAAGATAAGCGCCAAAAATACAGAAAGAAATAAAGCTTCATCATTGATCCATCTTCTTAGAAAATAATTCATCCTGCAAAAATGAAATGGAAACATTTTCGTTTAATCTAAATTGATATGTACCTGAAATATGGCACTACATAAAGTTTTAAAGAAAACTTAATTTTCTTCGGTGTGCATTTTTATATTTAAGTTTTGTTTTGTGATATGAAGGAGAAAGGTGGTTGAAAACAAAGGAACAGTGTTAAAATTTTCAGCTAGCAGTATGCTCAATTCAATGTGTCTATTTTTTCCTTGAGCACAGACTACTTACATTTTATTCCTACATAATAGTTCTAAAGAATGGTATTAAATAAAGCTTAATGACTGTAAATACAATTTTATGTCTCATAAAATGATTTATACAATCTTTTTTACATTGTTTTTGACAAATTTAGATTAAAATTGCAGTTGTTATTGATTTTTAATGTAAAAAGAGTTGGGTCGACTGGATCGGGATCGAACTCATGTTTGGATCGGGTTCGGCTTGATCGGGATCGAGTGCTCAATTAATTTAATTTTACGCAAACATGAGGTTGGAATCAATTTAGAGAGAAATTACAATTTCTCTGATTCAAAGCTATATTTTCTACTCCTGTGACACCACCTCAGATGCGTTATCAGTTTGAACAGTTTGATGGATTGTGCAATTGTCTTAATCGATTTCGGATTAGTCAGCATGTAGGTAAAAACCTGATATCCCAAACCGCGCACTGTAGTGCAGATAGGTCAATCCTTCTTTGAAGAGTTGCTTTGGGTTTTTTAACTGAATGAACCAGATTTCGATAATTTACGGCTACAGAAACATACATTTAAATTGTTAATATGAGCCAGGGGCGGTCTCAAGACCCGCGAGCTAGCCAGCTCAAGAGAATTACTCGACTTTCAAGTTGGTCAGCAGACATCCATCCAAGTAGGCGACAGTGATTGACAATAATAAACTTTCACACCATCAATATCACCAGTTCAGCAGCAATAATTAAATTTGGCACCACTGCAGTTTCTGGAACCCAGACATGAAATACTTGGCAAGTGATTCACCTAATATTCACCTAAAGACAGCAGCTGCGACCACCGGTTCATGAAGAAGTACCTTCAGAACATAAAAAGTGCTGCCCTCCATGCCTCCCATCTGATTGGATGGGAGAATAATGATAAGTAGTACATTGCACATATGATGATAGATTGTTATGCATCAGTGTTTTCCGTTTATTTCAAAGTAAAGGGTTCGAGATCACAAAATCTCTGTGGATCTTGCAACAAATTGTTATTCTAAAGCGACAATTTTGTCATTTAAAGCGGTCAATTTACCTGATTGCCGGCTCTTAGGGAAAACTTGAATGCATGTGATAAAGATTCTGGCTAATGCCGCAATATGTCATGTCACATGTTACACAAAAATATGACATTATATTAGTGCTTATTTAATTTCAACGTAAACCTCGACATGTCTCTGCACATTATGTTACATGAATTAATAATTTGCTGTCAATGTCAGCACTGGTCAAAATTTTGGGAATCGCCAATGGATTCCATTATATTATGTGAAGGCTCTAATTTGTTTTTCTTAATCTTCCCAATATCCAATGAAGGTTGGGACGATTTGTTTATTTATTAAAAAATGGTTGCCTATCAATGTTTTTTGTATGTGAAGGCTCCAGCTGTTTTTGTCAGTGTCAGTACTGGTCAATTTGGGAATCGTCAATTGATTCCAATTGATGTTGGGAATCGTCAATTGATTCCAATATGATTATGGGAATCGTCAATTGATTCCATCATATTATGTGTAGGCTACCGTTTGTTTTTCTTAATCGCCCAATATCTGATGAAGGTTGGGACGATCTGTTTCTTTATTTCAAAAAAGGATTTTGTTTTTCTTAATCTTCCCAATATGTAATGAAGGTTGGGAGGATCTGTTTATTCATTTATAAGTGGTTTGCCTATCAATGTCTTTTTGCATGTGACTATGTGAAGGCTCCAGTTTGTTTTTCTTAATCTTCCATGTATCTAATGAAGGTTGGAAGATCTTTTTATTTATTTGTAAAAAGAATGGGTTGCCTATCACTTTTATGTCACAATTGTTGAATTTTATGATGACCATGATGAACTGACCTATTTTAAGCTGAGCCGACACTTGTATATGATAATAGATTGGCAACATGCATTGTGAAGAGTTCAATAACAAATGATAAAGATGAAAAATAATAAAATGCCACCAAAAAGATGAAAATGTGATGGGTCCGAAGCCTCCCAAAAAGATGAAGTTACGCAGTCAACCGGCTCAATTGCTCTCTGCGGATTCAGTTTGGGCAATTCGGATTCCAATTGATCATCGACTCAAGTGGCTGCTCCAAAAAATCAGCTGGCAGCAGCAAATCTTAGACAACAGCAACAGCCTTGACTCCCAGCAATGCTTCTACAAACAAGATCACTTCAAAGGATGCACTACTGCACCGCAGACTTCTATTACATCTTCTACTGATTTGAATAGTTCCTATTTGGTAAACACCCTTATAACAGTTGCATTGTTTTTCCTTATAACAGTTGCATTGTTTTCCAGGTGTTTCGGTAGCAGATACATTTAACAGTAACAACTAGATTCTGTTCCATTATCAGTAGACGAAAAATAAATAAATAGATAAATAAATAAATAAATAAAAAATAAAGATAAATAAATAAATGAATAAATAAATAAATAAATAAAATCTTTAATGATCATTTCATTGACCTCAAAAGTTTACTTCTAAATTTCAAAGAGAAAAATATTTCAATTCAGATAGAAAATAATGTTAATCATTAAATCCTCAGTCAACTAGTTTTAATGTAATGGGAACCATTTAAGATGTTCACTAAATGCTCCCCCAAGTTCCTTATGTCCTTCCTGGTGTCTTATTCCCGGCAAGCTTCATAAAATAAGGCAATCTAGTATAATAGTCATTTTAGGGTTTACACACACGCAAATACATGCACATACATAATGTCCATGTCAAAATGATTACACTTTAAATGCATCCATTTTAAAAGCAATTCATCATAAATAATTGAAAATTGGCTATATTAAATATATTTGTCATTTTACTCAATTCGTGTTCTTGCAAGTGCATGTATGTGCAGATTTACCATGTCATTTGGTGAACACCATTAAAAGTGCTATTATATTCTGATTTTTAAATCATTTCATTCTCAAAAACATACATATAAATATATATAGATAATTTGGCGATATAATGTATTATCAGTAAATGAAGACATTTTGTGAAAAATAAGTTGTGCAATGTGACGTTAATGAAAATGTATTACAGTTAATCAAGAAATATCTGACAGGCACTTATGGCTAAGCTAGACATAGGAGATGATTTTAGAAATATCCCAAAGCACCTTCAGACTATCATTGGAACAATCAATATATTAATTGATAAATGTTAACCAATGGGTGCTAGTTCATCTTGTCAGTTTTGTTTAAGTTTTAAACAGGTCCTTGTAATGGTTTTTGTTGGAATACAAATCAGGCCAATATCTCAAAATGTCTCTCTGATGTTAGAAACTTCAAACGTTTACGTTTGAGAGTATGATTTTCCTCTAAAGAAACAAAAACTGTCTTCTCAATAACTTGTTTGACTATATATGGAATTGAGGTAGATTCTATTCCTATAGGAAGTAGATTATCTAAGACATGAGAACAAACTCATTAATATTAGACAAATGTTGAGAGGGATAGTCCAGGATAAATGTTCAAAATTTGCCTGTCAAGTGGTCACACCTGGTCGTGCATTGTTTGAGACTCTTTATAGATTTGACTCCTGAGTTCAATTGCAAACCAAACCATTACATAGAAAATCAACTGCTAAGGAACATGTTGAATTAAGGCAATGTAGCTTATATAGATCATTTTTGTGGCAAGTCAATATTTCATCAGTAGTAGTGGTGTTCTTTACAGAAGTTACATTTATAAGTAGATAGATGCATCTGGTGCTTTGGGTTAAGAAACTGTATAAGGTTTAAAATGGTCTGCTAAATCTTAGTTAGATATTCATATAGATTGTCAAATTTATCTTAAAGTTCTTCCAATCATTTTGCTAGTAGACATTTGGGTCCCATATTTCAGCTATCAAAATTTGCCTTTTAGCTGATAATACAGCAGTTATACCTTCAAAACTCATAGTTTACTGTTTTATCTTCCATCTACAGAAAGAATTATTTGCAATTTTTAATTTTATGAACCAAATACTCCTCTATGGTAGGAAAGTTGTCAAAAGAGCCCATAGCTTCCAATCACAAAACCCATCTTAATGAATTAGTATCTGACTTATTTCACACTTTTCAAGAAGCAGACACAAGAACCAACTATCAGCAGTCTTCCTTCTTGCCTTGAACATTTTTATGCACTTAGGCAAACTCGTTCCTATAAACAACACATACAACTCAAAAGTTATTCAAAGACAAGCCATAATATTCTTTGATGATAATTCACTTTAGATAACAATGAGATATTCCAAACTATGAATGATAGGCATCCAGTGATACTTACTTTAACAGCCAATGACTTAAAATGTCAATTTTGTCCAGTTCATGCCTTAAAAGTATACATTACTTAACATAAACACACATCTAGTCCTTTATTCACCTTCAAATCTGATGAACCAGTTAAGTACAGTTTTGTGGGATTCCAATCAAAACATGCAATATAAGTTTTCAACTGATTGCTTTACTTTGGTCATAGTTTTTGTGTTTGTACTGCAAGTTTTGTACTGCTATTGGCAGCTTAGAATGGTTTATCTAAAAATGTAATCCAACAACTCGGTCATTGGCACTCAAAAGACGTTATATTAAAATAAATGCATTCAGGTTTTAAATTCCACACTTGATGTTAAGAATTCTAAACTAAATGTTTCCTTTATACATGTGCTGTCATTGGCTATGGTAAGAGAGAAGTGAGCATATGGTTGTTTCTCTCTAGAATTTAATTAGGATCTGATAAACTTTTTACATCCAATTTCAGTGATTTAACATATAAATCAGTTCCAAACTAAATGCTCCCCTTAAACATGTACTGCCATTGACTATTGAAAGAGAGAAGTCAGCATATGGTTGTTTTTCTTCAGAATGTACTGCCATTGACTATTGAAAGAGAGGAGTCAGCATATGGTTGTTTTTCTTCAGAATTTAAATAGGATCTGATAAACTTTTTACATCCATTTCAGTGATTAAACGTATAAATCAATTGCAAACTAAATGTTTCCCCTTATACATGTACTGCCATTGACTATCGAAAGAGAGAAGTCAGCATATGGTTGTTTTGGTTTTTTTCCAGAATTTAATTAGAATCTGATAAACTTTTTACATCCATTTCAGTAATTAAACGTATAAATCAGGTCTATTAGGCCAGCTAATGGTTGCTGTGATAAATTGTAAAATTTTAAAGCATCCTATCAAAATGAAACAACAAATTTAAACCTTCCGAGGTCAGCATTTAGCTGCTTAAATAAAATAGTACTTTGGTCAGTGATCTTGCAAAGTGTTCATTTTGAAAATTAAGTGCTAGATAGATGCACATTTTACTCTTCATATTGGCCTTAAATTTGCGAGCTAATATACTTGAGGACAGCACCCAGTTGCTCATAAAATTTATGTATTGTAGTTGGAATTCAGCTTTAAGTTTGGTCTTGAGAATTGTGTATCAGGTCAGCATATGTCTGTTTACAAAATTGTATCATGTCATGAGCTTAGAAGTTCAAAAATTTGTGTATCAGGTCAGCGAACAGCTGCTTATAAAAATTGTATGTTAGTTGGAGCTCAGCAGGATTTTGTTCTGAATTTTGTGCATGAGTTCAGCATATGGATGTTCATAAAATATATATTGTAAAAATGAGCTCATGTTGTTTATGAGGTAGCATATGGTCTCTTTTTTAGTCTCGTTAACCTTATGTTATTCACAGGTTTAGTAACCTTTGTCCTTTATATTTTGTAACTTATTCAGATATAACTTTGTGCTTATGTGGGTTTTTAATGTTTATTCATGTACACAATGTTATTATCTGTTAAAGAACACATGTTTGCTACAATTAATATTGAGCAGCATATAATTTATGAAATGCCTTTCCTTGGGTGGCGCTGCATGCTTCATGCAAGCATTTTGCATGCTGTGTGGCCTCTTTGTTTACGCCACCTTCTTGTTACACAAACTTGGTAATCATTATATAACAATAGCTGGGATAAGCACTAAGTCGCAATATATCATATCTAAGTTGAAACTAATCATTATTTGGCCTTATCCCAGCTATAATTTACATGATTGTATGTAATATTGTATATTTATGTGTTTTTGTTCACTTTCGTCATTTATCTGGTCAATAAATGACATTTTCACTCAATTCAAGTAGTAACAAGAACAAGCTACGGAAAGGCTTTTCATATTGTGAAAGTTACTTTTATTAGTGGAAAAGTTGTGGATATAAATACAATTTTATGTCTCATAAAATGTTTTATATTCAATCTTTTTTACACTGTTTTTGACAAATTTAGATTTAAATTGCAGTTGTTATTGATTTTTAATGTAAAAAAGAATGGGGTCGACTGGATCGGGATCGAACTCATGTTTGGATCGGGTTCGGCTTGATCGGGATCGGCTTGATCGGGATCGAGTGCTCAATTAATTTAATTTTACGCAAACATGAGGTTGGAATCAATTTACCGCCACCTCCCATCCTCCTCCCATGTAATACCAATATTTGAATTTTTGTTGTATGGAATTTTTTCCTCATTGTATAACATCAAGCATTTACCATGCCGTGTGGCCTCTTTGTTTACGCCACCTTCTTGTTACACAAACTTGGTAATCATTATATAACAATAGCTGGGATAAGCACTAAGTCGCAATATATTATATCTAAGTTGAAACTAATCATTATTTGGCCTTATCCCAGCTATAATTTACATGATTGTATGTAATATTGTATATTTATGTGTTTTTGTTCACTTTCGTCATTTATCTGGTCAATAAATGACATTTTCACTCAACTCAAGTTCTTGTGTCTTCGCTAGTTTTCAAGTAACAAGAACAAGCTACGGAAAGGCTTTTCATATTGTGAAAGTTACTTTTATTAGTGGAAAAGTTGTGGATATAAATACTGAATAAAATATTATAATATTGTCATTTGGCTTCCCATTTTTTTTAAATATCGAAGATATAATTATGCCTTGTTGTGCGTAACAGGAATGCAGTATGTATTATCCATGGTTTGGCACAATATAATTCAGATCAATATTTGATAAAGTGAAATAATGATTTTAAAGTTTAAATCCAGGATGCTTTACAAACCTTTTAAATACACTGTAAGCACTGAATGAGTATTTCTACTTTACCACACATTATTTGTCGTTTTAAAGAATTATTTAATATAATTGTTAAACGCACTTGACATACCATTTTCGTAGTGTATAAAAAAAACTCTCAAGACCGGGGTATATGAAAGCTAAAGAAATTTTTTCGCTTCTGAAGTTATACTTACTAGTATTTGATTAATTTGTCAATCTTTCGAGTTTGAATTTGTTAAAATAGATTTTGTCCCTAGTTTAGGAAAAGAGATAACTAGAAAGCCTTTGTAAATTACCATTTGTGTTGGTCATCTTCATACCTCTGTCATGAGGAAAACTTTGTTTTCAAATTTTATAATTTTATAATTAAATATAAAAAAAAATTAAGATAGTAATTTCACATTTATAAATTATTTTTAAAAAGTTGATTTTAATAAATAAAAATTTCTGTTTTTTGGTAGAAATATTTACGTTAACTAAACTCGTTTTAGTTGTATTTTCAAATTGTCAAATGGAAATATTTAGCACCTTTTCATCTTTTTAACATTGGTTTTCTTTTATGTTCATGTCACCTATTGTTCAGTGTAAGTAATTGTATTTATATCAAATCTTTTAGTTAATTGCACAGGTGAAAAAGTAAGTGTCCATGTTTACATTGATTGCTCAAAACCAATAGTCTTTTGTTTGGGGATTATGCCTTGCAGAGGACATTCTATTAAGTTAATCTTTTACTCAATTAATTTGTCAGCAATTATCTATCATCAAAGGAACATGGCATGGTCGACTGCATTTCATTTTTGGAATATTTGGTAATTATCAACTTTTCATTTCCGACATTTTTTAGTTTTCATTTCCAACATTTTTTGGTTTTCATTTCCGACATTTTTCAATCACATATGTAGTACCTATATTAACAGATTTGATAAATTTACTTGTGAATTTTTTTTTAATTATTTTTTTTTAAAAATTTGCATAGAACTGCAAAAAAAAAACGACAAATGGCGCATATCAGATAAGAAGCAAATAATACTTAAGATTTCTCTATATCTTACAGATTAATTATTTATGTAATATCCGTTCAAAAATATTTATCAATCCATGCATCAAAATTTTGTTTGTGACATGTATCCAAAATAAGTTAAATATTCACAAGCTGGCCAATCGTCGCCTGATCATCGAGCTCTGAGCTACAATTTGATTTTAACCGTCGGCCGATTTTTTGGACACATTGTCGAACAAGGGTCGACCAACTTAATAAATTGACTGCCGATGGTCGGACGATGATCGAAGGTTGGTCGATGGATAACTTCAATTGTAGAAATCGGCCACCGACGCAGAAAAATTATAACATGGACCGATAGACACAAAATTGGTCGACCGACCATAAAAGAAGTCAAAATCGGGCAAGACAATGGCCGATGAACTGCCGACAGACACCCGAAGAATCCCATTTTTGCTTCAAAAACCGTCGGCCGTTAGTCGTTTGTGAAAATTTGATTGGGTTTTAAAGGGTATGAGTCCCATAGGCGCTTGGTTACAGGATGGTGTATTTTGTATTTTTCTATGTGTGCCTGAATACCCTCATTAAGATAAAAATAAAAAATCGCCGAAATTAGCACGTTTTAAAAATGTCATATTTACTGTATATAAAAAGAGTAAAGGAGCGCCACTCGCCGTCTTGAAAATAAGGGGTGCCTCGGTTCACACTTGATTTTAATAAATGTCTACATTTTTCTTACCGGTGTCGGACGAGATCTAGCTTCAATAATGATAGAATAACATCTTTTAAATGTCTGCCGATTTGAACTTGCCGCATAAAACATGCAGCAAACACAAAACGTCCTCTATACCATGTACAAACATCGAAAGCAACGTAAGTGCCGATTTCTAACGATGAAAAATGTAGAGGTGTCCCGGAATTACACGGAAAATCTAGAGAAAACAAGTTTAGCGCGATTTCTGACCTCTCCAGATTTTCCATGTATTTCCGGGACGCCTTTACATTTTACATAGACGAAATCGCCACTTCCGTTGCTTTCGATAAACAGGTGCAAGAATCGAGGACGTTTCGGTTCACTGCTTGTTTAAAACGGCATATGTAGGTCAACAGATGATACGGAGTTGTCATTCAATCATTGTTCAAGCTAGATCTCACCCGACACCGGTAGGAAAAATGTAGATATGGATGAAAATTTAGTGTGAACCGAGGTACCCCCTGATTTTCAAGATGGCGAGTGACGCTCCTTTATTCTTTTTATATACAGTAAATATGACATTTTTTAAAACGTGCTAATTTCGGCGAATTTTTATTTTTATTTTAATGAGGGTATTCATGCACACATAGAAAAACACATAATACACAAAAACACCATCCTGTAACCAAGCACCTATGATGCGTCCCCGTGTCGGTCGATCACTTTTCTATATGCAATCAAACCACATGGACGTCGTAAACCTTCATTAATCTTTGTTTTTTTTTTCAAATTCAGGTAAATATATTTACTTTTATTATTTTTACTTAAGTATTTAAAAATGTAATTTAGTATGATTAAAAGTTATTGCCAATACTAAGATATATGCATTTTAAAGTAATTGTAGGTACATGTACATTGCTCTTTTTAATGAAATAAATTATTGTTATAGTTAAAATTACAAAATTAGGAAGTAATGTAATAATGTTCAGATAGGCATAAGAGTACTGAGTCAATCATTTTATTATTTAGATTATTTTAAAAATGTTGCATTTAATCATTTAGTTCATAATTTTAGGTTTTAGACGTAATGGTCACGTATTAACTGTTAATTACGCTCGGGCTCTGTGTGCTTTTATTTTTTTTTAACTTGTTTACTAAGTATTATCGGCTGAGTGTATTGTTAATCATTCATAGCTGATGTTTACTATGTCTGAAGTACATGTAAGCTGCGATTATATACTTTTGATATTCAAATTTTTGTTTAATTTAACTGTCATATTACACTATGATAACGAGATGTATACATATTCATCAGGTGCGCGTCTGTCAGTAGAGCACATCCGAATTCCTTGTAAATATGTTTTGAGTTTAAATGGTTCCGTACTTATTGCACTCTATCTTCAAAGTTCATAAAAAAATGATTTTGTAATACTGCAAATTTTTTACGATTTTTAAATTTTTGGTTTGTTTGATATTTCATACAATTTTACTAAGCTAACCGTCTATAATTGCTATTAAGCCATTATTTTCAAATTTAGTTCTTTCTTATCTTGATTATATAATATTGGTTAGGGACATTGTTTGTAAGGACCTTGAGCCATATCTAGTTTATTAATGCTTTGTTTTGTGCACTAATCTATATGCAATAAAACCACACGGACGTCGTTAACCTTCATTAATCTTTGTTTTCTTCAAAATTCAGGTTATTTCCCCTTATCATATGCTTGCCAGTAGGATAAGAAGCGCCTTAGGCCAAATACAAGAAAGGAGATAAAGAAAATATAACGGCTTACGAATAATAATATTTATGGACTAAATCTAATTTTGATTTAAATCGCAATCCGGAAGAAATTTCGAGAGTCAAACTACATATAGTCCTCTGCGTCTCCGCAAACAGACATTGGTACAAACGAACTCTGGTGGATGTTAAAATTGGGAGCCAGAAATCAATAGAAATTGATTCTTCATCGTAAACGTTACATTATTAATATTCATGTGTGCTTCAATGCATTTTAATGCAGAAAATGGTTCTGGTAAGTAAGGAACGAGTCTGTACAGCGATATGAAGAATATCAAAAGAAAACGGAGATAATCAAAAGTCAACGGTACTAAATTCACTGCTTCTCGAGCCATGGTACCAGTACAGCTGCTTACTTAAACTTGCGTGGACATATTCAACAGTTTAAAATGGAAAGTAAATCAATTCTTTCTCAGGAATTATATCTATATTTACAAATAGAGATCGGCACTCCAACACAAGTGGAAATCAGGAGACAGATACGGGATATTGAAGAAATTATCTACAATTCAGCTTCATCTACGTTAATATTACCTAATAGAAGACAACCTACTTTTTTCCGAGTATCAACTGGAAGTCAAAAGGAGGGATTCCGATTTAAGGCATCCGACGCCGATTTTCTGTACTGGTGGACTGACCATAAAGTTATTTGTCATCCGAGACAAGAAAACCTATACAACAAAGAAACATTGATTATGATGGAATATTGTGATGATAGTCCAGGATCCGTCCTCCTTAAAGTCAAAAAGTGGTCCGATTGGAGTGTTGTTAGTGATAGTTATGTCATATTGGAAAAAGGAACGTATATGTCAAGTTTAAAGTACAGAGAATCCACTAAAAATTTAGTAGTAAAAAATTCCCAAACACATGGACCTTGTGCGACCGGTCGATTGGATAATGGAGTTTGCTTTGACAATGCTCATTCATTGAAATGTGATGTTGTATTAAAAGTAGCTTCTTTATGGATAAAGCGATGCCATACTAAAGGTTGGCCTGATTCTACCGTATTGCAGTATGCCAGAAAAACAGGATGTCATTTTGTTCCCGTTGGCCGTAGAGACTCGCCAAACCAGGATTATGAATGGCGAATTTCCTTTAATCTCATTGAATTGAAATGTGTCGAGTGTATGAACCATGTTCAGTTTACCTGCTACGGCTTATTCAAGATTTTTCTCAGCAAAGTAATAAAGCCATTGATCGATGATAAAGACCTTTTGTGTTCCTACTTTTTGAAAAGTATCATGTTTTACATGATACAAGAAAAGGAAGAATCATTTTGGTCTCCAGAAAACTTCATCAATTGTTTTTGGAATTGCTTTAAACATTTAATATTTTGCGTTTACAAAAGCAATTTGCCAAACTTTTTCATTCAGGAAAACAACATGTTTCAAGGTAAAATTGTAGGTAGTTCCAGAGAGAAGTTGCTTGAAAAACTTTATTTGTTATTTAACATGGGTTATTCATGCTTAAGCCCATGTGTCTCAGAAAAATGCGTTTTACTGCAAAAATCCATCACTCCTCCTTACGTGTTAAGGGCGATTAATACAGATTTCATTTTATTCAATGAGATTTATCAAAAAGTAGGATTATACTTAGAGTTTGCTTTATTACCATTCCTGGAGTATTATATGCTTATCATAAGAAAACTTTTCAAAAAGAAAACCATGACACTTGTTCAAACGATAGCAGTGCGACAGCATATTTGTGCGTTGTTTACTCACTTGGCGTTTATTGTACTGCAATCCGAAAAGACGAGTGGTGTTTTTAAATCTGGAAACATGTTAGAGGTTGCAGCCAAACACGGATTCCTATCAGATAATTTATTTTATGTGATGTATCTCTACAGAAAATCCAGATTTGAAAAAGCTCTCGGATATGCGTTAAACACAAGAAGAGATTTAGAGGAACCTCATGTTTTATTTATAAATGGCTTTTACGATGTGCATGAGTTCATAATGTATGGCAAAGACAAATCATGGTCAACACAGCTAAAAGAAGCTGTAGCTGTAGAAATTGGTCTTTCTTGTTACGTGGCGTATTTAGATGAATTAACTATTGAACAGTATGTTGGAGGGAAGAAAAACATGTATTTCCATATCCCCCCATACGTGTTAACACTTTTTCTAATTATCCTTTGCAACATACGACTTGGAGACATAAAAGGCCGCGATCATTCCTTATTCAAATTGAAAGATTTACTTAATAGAGGAAGAAATGTTCCTGTTGATATGAAAAATATCTCTTGGCATATCCTTGGGATTGCTCAACAATTGTCCGGGTATTATTCGGAAGCATTTGAGTCCTACAGAACATCTCTAACTCATCCGGACAGATGTGGGCTATATGAAGCTAAAATTATCAGAATGCTGATTGTCGTATCTGATTCAAGAAACAAAAACGCCCGAATTGGCTTAAAACGTCACAAAGACATCAATTCAGAATGGAAGGAAATAAAGAGAAAAGACAGAGGAGAAGCTTTAATTAATCGGAAGATTAGAGGGTAAAAATGTTCGAGTTCGCCTATGCCTAAACATGAGTATTCCAAAATCATACGTGAAGCATTTCTGGAGAAAAAGCTTCATAAGAGATAATGTTATAATCGGACAAAGAAAATGTCCTCTTAAACACTTCTTATGAGGCAACCTGTATTTTTTCATCTACACAGGTTTGAATGAGAAATTTGCTTGGTCACATTAAATATTTAAGGAAAGGTGAAACAAAAAATAAAGCTTCAATTTACCCGTAAGCAATAATGTTTGATTCATTATTTCTATTTTTTACAAAGATAAAAAATGTTATTTATCTTGAGATTTTCTTTTTTCGAAGTTTAAAAACCTGTCTTGTTTAAATAATATAAAAAATGCCTAAACCCTCAAATGAAATTTGACTTTAAAAAAAAAAATAATTGATATTAATTTCCATAATATAATCACATATAATACAAAATGACTCATAAATATACATCAGTTATTGAAACGGAAAATCAATCCTCTTATTGTGATTTTTAAAACAAAAGAGGTCATACCGGGTAGTTGTTGGATGAGTGTTTGACGACTTGCTTTATGTAATAGCTTGTGTATTTCTTTGTGGGTAGTTTGATTTGATGAAGAATATTTATTTTGATTCTAACTGGAATTAAAATACCATTTATTGTGTTTAAAAAAATATATGTTTCCATATTATAACTTATAACAAGATTAAATATTTCATGTATAGAAGCATTAATTGATTGTACCGGTATATTGTTTAGTTAACGTCCCTCTCGAGAATTTATCCACTCGTATGGCGATGGAGAGTTGCAAATTGTGTCTTATACTCGGCACTTACAGCCACTGAGCAGTGAGATACAGCAATACAACGTGAGCTATTATTATTTAACCGCTAAATATTATTGAAAGGTTTTTAATTTATAAGCAGTCATCAAAGCGTCTGCACATTATTCGAACTTTCGAAGCAACTATCTTAAACAGCTTTGATATAAAATGTGAGCATGGAGCAATGTCTTTGGAGTGACTATAGTGTTGTTCTCAGTTGAGACTATCTTAAGACTAGGGTACCAATCTTCGACTCTGGAGTTGTTCTAAGAGGTGCATATCAATAGCCTAGGCTAAAGAAGTTTGACTCTCATGTTGTTCTTGGTAAAGTGTATCGATAGAATAGGGAACTGGTGGTTGACTGTAACCAGAAAATAGAATATGTAAAGCTGTGTCAGGAATCAAAACCAGGATCCCTGCATCACAAGTTAGGTGCTCCACAAACAACATCCATGGCAAAAACCATAGGGTAGGACCTACCACAAAATAATTGAAATCGATAGCACGACTACGCGTAATAAAAGTTGTTTAAATTGATTGGTTATATCAGTTTGTTTTATTAATATCAATTTTTAACCTTTAGAATACAATGTATTTATCAATGCGGAAGAATTTGATTTGGTTCTTTTTACTGACGTAAGAGTTTTCTTTCTTGGATTTTATTTATTTTGAATTTACCGTTCATAAAGATTATTTACTTGTTTATTTCTGCCAACCTATTTCGTTTATTTATTCATTTCATTTCATTTATTCATTTTATTTAAATTTATGAGTGTTACTTTTGATGATATAAAGAATTGTGTTGGACTGTGCATGACATATGATTTAAATAACGTTACATATTTATGCCCTGGTCACACGAAGAGTTTAATTCGCAGTAAATAAATACGAAGCAAACTAATGTAAATTAAAATAATTCGCGTTCACACAACAACTTAAGCGAAGTTAACCAATGCGAATCAAAATTTTATTTCTACAAAAAGGACAATTCAGTAAGGCTATTTGACGTCATTTGTAAATTACAGAATCAGAATCAAATTGTAAATATGAAGAGCCATCCATTTGACATAATAATCATAGTGGCTAAAGGTACCTACATTTAGTAATTAAAATACTTTCCTTGATTTTTTTTAACCAAATATAGCAAATGTAGCACAGATACCTATATCTTACCACCAGCATGTGTCCTGTGACGTAATTCTGGCCGTACACATGCGTCAAAATTTAATTCGAGTTAGCTTCGAATTCGCTTAGCGTTCAATGGTCCGATTATATGTCTCTGCACGGAGTTAATGCGAAGTAATTTAATGCGCAGTAAATAAGTTATTCAGACCGACATTCCTCCAACTTTTTATCATCAATCTTCGGTCGTGTTTCATGTTTCTTTTTAGCATAAATTATCGATTTTCACAAATAAATATATTCCCAGACAACAATCCGTTCACTCTCACTGATCACAAGTGGCCTTCAACCAAATTTTCCCTTCATAATAAAATATACATTTAATTGCCCATCTTAATTGTATATATGAGTAATAAATAACAAGTTCTGTTCTGAGAAGGCCATCAGTCTTCACAGGATTTGATTATGTGATTGACCCATTTCAATTCACATTGAAGTTTATAAACTTGTTTTTTATGTCTTAATTAAAATCGTCGTGTGAATAGGGCATAAATAAAGATATTGCTTTAAATCTGGATTGTTTAAATAGAACAAGCTAAATTCTCCACATATCGCCCTGAAATTAAATTTTAACACACACACAAACACTCACATAATTTTTTTTTATTACCTTGACCTTTGAACCTCAAAATTAATAAGTATATTTCTAAGTCAAAGGGAATTCATTGTGTAAAATATTGCAAAAGCTCAAATGCTTCTTGAGTTATCGCGTGGGAATGAAAGCGTTACAGACAGACGAACGGACAGACAGACAGACCGAGATTAATTTTCCACACTTTCAGCGGGAGACAATAAAAGCTGAACACTTCTCATAAATAGACAAATTCAGACGGTATACATACATCCTTCGATTTCGGTAAACCTGATTGCACACTTGAACTCGTGGCCATGTAGTATTTCTTTTTAAATTATGTATTGACTTGTATTTTTTCATGATACTGTTCTCTTGTTTTAAAAAAAATGCGTAAAATTTGATAATTTTATCGCGACAGAGTAACACGGCAATGTAAGATCAGTGTACGTCTACACTCGTGGGACCTTTATGGCGAAATGCATAGATCTAACTGCTAGGAGATCTACTCCTTATATATATATGGGTTGTAAGGGATAGCGTCGATGAACGGTTAATATAGCGGACTATTCCTTTTTACGGGTATGTTCAGCTTTAGATATTTTATACGTACTTCTGACGGACATTACGGAAATAAAATACTATATCGGTTATCTTTTAATCGTTAGAGGCTATGACTATTCATATCTATGGCGCAGTCGGCCTCACAGATTCCATTTCACTACAGTGGTTTTCTGTCATTGAATCTCATTACCGTATTCGGTCAGCAATGTCTAGGTACCAGTTGAACTGAAATCTAAAAAAGGGTTTTTTTTTAAATTGGACATTTGAGCAATGGAAAGTGAGTCAGTTCTTTCTCAGGAAGTATACCTATATCTCCAAACGGAGATTGGCACTCCAGCACAAGTGGATATCAGGAGACAGACGATGGATATTGAAGAAATTATCTTCAATTCACGTACAACAGTAGAATCACCCATTAGAGGACATGATAATTCTTTCTACTTGTCGACAGGAAGTCAGAGGGAGGGATTCAATTTTGAAGAGTCCGATGTCGATACGCTTTTCTGGTTGACTGACCACAAAGTTATTTGTCACCCGAGACAGGAAAACCTATACGACAAAGAGACATTGATTATGATGGAGTATTGTGATGATAGTCCGGGATCCGCCTTTTTGAAAGTCAGAAAGTTGTCTAGCTGGAGTTTTGTTCGTGATAGTTATGTGAAATTAGGAAATGGAACGTACATGTCGAGTTTAAAGTACAGTGAATCCACCAAAGACTTAATAATTAAAAATTCACGATTACATGGGCCTTGCGCAAGCGGACAGTTGACTAATGGAATTTGGTATGACTACGTTCATTCACTGAAATGTGATTTTCTTCCACAAATAGCTTCTTCATGGATAAAGCGTTGTGAAACAAAGGGCTGGCCTGATTTTACTGTATTGCAATATGCCAGGAAAACAGGATGTAATTTTGTTCCAATTGGTCGTAGAGATTCACCAAATAAAGATTATGAATGGCGAATTTCCTTCAATCTCATTGAATTGCGATGTGTACACAGCATGAACCATGTTCAGTTTACTTGTTACGGCTTATTCAAAATTTTTCTCACCAGAGTAATCAAGCCATTGATGGATGATAAAGAACTTTTGTGTTCTTACTTTTTGAAAACTATAATGTTTTACACAATACAAGAAAGCGAAACATCATTTTGGTCTCCAGGAAACTTGATAAAGTGTTTTTGGAATTGCTTTAAATGTTTAATATTTTGTACATATAAGGGCAATTTACCAAACTTTTTCATTCAAGAAAACATGTTTCATTGTAAAATTGAGGGAAGTGCTAAAGAGAAGTTGCTTGAAAAGCTTTATGTGTTATATAACATGGGTTATGCTTGCTTAACGCCATGCGTCTCTGAAAAATTTATACGTATGCAAACATCCTTTCCTCTTTATTGGTTAAGAAAATTTCAATCAGATTACAGTTTATTCACTGAGATTCATAATGGCGTAGGATTATATGTAGACTCTGCACAATCACAGATCATGGCGGTTTATATGCTTACCATAAAAAGACTTCTAAAAAAGGAAACCTTGACTCTTATTCAAACGATAGTAGTAAAACAACATATTTGTTCGTTGTTTACTCACTTGACATTCGTCGTACTAAAATATGCTGAAAACACAAGTAGTTTATTACAATCTGGTTTGGACTTGTTGGAATTTGCAGCCATTCATGGATTCATATCAAATAACATTTTTAAAGTGATGTATCTTTACAGAATGTCAAGATTTAAAGATGCTCTGGACTATGCCAAAAAGACAAAGGGAAATTTGAAACAACCCCATGTTATATACATACCCACATCTCCAGAACCCGTTAAATACATATATGACCAAGATAAATCATGGACTTCAAAGATTAGAGAAGATGTAGCAGTAGAAATATTTCTCTCTAGACTCGTTACGTATTTAGATGAACTAAGTATTGAACAGTATGTGGGTTTGATGGAAGAAATGCATCTCGTTATTCATCCATATGTACTGACACTTTTTCTCATTATCCTGTGCAAAATACGACTTGGAGACATAAAAGGACGCGATATTACCTTATGCGAATTGAAAGATTTACTTTATAATGATAAAAGGAAAATTGTTCCCA